CTTCAATGAAACCTGAGGTCCTAGATCCATAAAGCGAACATAGTTCTATGATTTACCCACACTCTCCATTACTATTCTGAAAGAAGAATCTAGTAATCATTTCAAAGGAGCAGAGGCAATGTCAGTCTCACTGCTTATTTGATTCTGTTAATTAAACTATAAAGAAATTTTTTGAAATAGTACTACTCATATATCTTGGCATAAGATAGCCTTTATAAAGAATGAAAATTAATATCAGAAGAGAGATCAAAGTTTCTAATATCTTCTATTTAAATTCATTTAATATTCTACTGGGTTGTTGGAAAAGTCATGACGTATTTTGTCTATGTTTTTCAAAGGTCATTTATTTATGTAAAGAACAAAGATCAATCAATGATATATATTGCCCGTTTTGTTCAACAACCTTTTGCCATCTTTCACTGAGCTTCATAATTCTTCGTTCATAGAAGGACCTGTCTTTATTTGCAAAAAACTGAACAAGGTGCTGATTTACAGCCTCATCTGAATTGAATGTTATACCATGCAAGGAGTTTTGAAGAGAGCAAAACAAGTGGAAGTCTGACGGCGCAAGGTCAGGCAAGTATGGTGGGTGTGGCAACACATCCTATCCAAGCTCCAGTAATTTTTGACAGGTGACCAAACTTGTGTGTGGTCTCGTGTTGTCATGATGGAACACAACTCCTTTATGATTAACAAGTTTCTGGATGATGGATTCGTTCAAACGGTCCAACTGCCGACAGTACACATTTGAATTGATTGTTTGGTTTCTTGGTAGGAGCTTGAAAAACACGACACCTTTAACATCCCACCACACTGAGAGCATAACCTTCCTCTGATGAATGTCTGCTTTCAATGTCGTTTGAGGCGAATCATCACGTGGGGACCAAGACCGTTTGTGCACCACACTGTTGTAAATAATCCACTTCTCATCACCAGTTTTCAGTTGCTTGAAAAAAGAATCGTTTTCCTCACGTTTAATGAGTATACTGCAGATGTTTATACACACCGTCACATGAACTTCTTTGAGTTCATGCGGAACCCAAATATCGAGCTTGCTTACGTATCCCAACTTCTTCAGGTGGTCGTGAATGCTTGAATGATGGATGGTCAATGTTTCTGCAATCTCTCGTGTTGTGTAACGTGGGCTTGACTCGACCAATGCCTTTATTTTGTCGTCATCAACCTCGGTGGGTCTCCCTGACCGAGGCGCGTCATTGAGATCAAAATCACCAGCATGGAATTTCGTGAGCCATCATTGGCACTGATGTTCTTGTACAGCATCGTCACCATAAANACAGTTATATAAAAACTTACATTTTCTTAGTTATAGTGACATGAGTCAGAGTTTCATTATGAAGGTTAAAAATTTTCCAACAGAATATGTCACGAATATAGTATATTTCTTATCAAATAATTTTCATCATCAAAGCCTTAATAGTCTGAAACTTCTAGAACTTAAATAGCAGTTAGAATAAAATAATGAAAAATTACTTAGCTTTACAAATTAAAAATTTTTCATTAACATATCATTTCCCTTCCTTCCAATAACAAACTACGTCTTTATGTTTAAATTCCTAACATTAAGAAATTCCCTAAAATGCACAGATCCAGAATTTATACTAGTTTATATATTTGTATCATACTCATTTATTATTTATTCAACAAATACCATGAGGACACAGAAAATCATACATAAAAAATATTGTTATACAGAGTGAAGTACCTTAAGAAAAATAAAGCAAACTCATGCCTTTAGTTTACTTTACTAACATTATTTTCTTTTTCTAATTATATTCTCATTTATTTTTAATTTAATTTTTAATCTTGCTAAATGGCATTCATCTTTAAATCGCCTTAAGCCATTTTTGGAAGAAAAGAAGACAGGAAGAAAAAGATAATGGGAATAAAGGAAACTGAGCATAGAGAAAGGCTGTAACAAAGGACATGAGGGAAGGCTTCCTAAAGGAGGAGTGACATATGAGCCAAAACCTGAAGGCAGGTGGAAATAGGAGTATCGTAAACAAGGAAGGAAAAATATTTCAAAGACAGAAAAGAGCGTAAAATACAAGGTGTGAATGAAGGATAATAACTTGGTTACATCCAACTTGAAACTTGAAAGCATAGCTCAGAAACAGAAATTAAGGAATATGGATGAAAAGACAGGCCCACATTC